ACATGCCATTTTCCTGGCTATACTATTGGACAAAATTTCATTGATAACGTCGAATGATTGGTTTAAAATTGGCAAGTTTAATTCTATTGGCTTCTGCACTTTATACAAACTTCTAGTAATGTCGGAAAAATGATCATATTCAACCATATATACATTATGCGAGCGCCTTATCTGCAGCAAGTATGCCAGGCTTAAAAAAAATATAAGTCGGCACATCCCTAAAAACATCCACCGCAAATGACATACAACTACCACCGTGTGTCCAACTAAAAGAGTCCTGTTGGAGGGGATTTGGTGTCTTTTATTAATACTTTAAAGTGTACCCGTCACTTTGTCCCGGACACGAAAGCACTTCGTTTCTTCTAGATTTTGGCATTCTCAAATTTGTGCTCGTCGAGCATGACCGGCGAAGATTCAGACGTGCTGCTAGTGCTTGCGGATGCCTTCAGAAGGCAAAGCGACGGGCTGCGAGCGGCGCGACGGAAGGTGTTTCGACTCTTAGTAGAGGAAACTTGGAGAGTGGCGATGCGCAGCCGCCATTACCTGACCATACAGTGCTTGGACACGCCAAACGAGTCGGCGTGGATGATTCTCTACAAGTATGGCACCGATATCAACTTCCTCAACGCGACCAGCTTGACCAGGTACGGCGCAATACGCAGTTGTTTGTTTGGGTTGTGTATTCTGAGTAAATGCGTGCGTATAGGATCGCGTTCGGGAATCTACTTCGTCGGTTTGTCGGTGTCTACTACATCCCCCGATTCCAACCGAGAGGCTGACCATTCAAACTTCGCTTCCATCACCAAGTGTTTGGGCTCGTTCTGTGTTACTACACGGGATCCATGGAGCTGGGCACCCTGTGCATGTTGTTTGGTGTTCCGCCGAGTACCTTGGCGCGGACGCTGAAACGGGAAGAAGAAGCGCTCTCAAAGGCTTTGATCAATTTCCGACCCACACGTATATTGTGGCCATCGCCTACGCGCCAGGTCGAGCTGGCAAAGTTGATCCAGGAGAGAGAACCTCTGCTAGAGTATACGTTTGGCTTCACCGACGGAAAAAACTTCAAGGTGAGTAAAATAACTTTTTCGGATGTAAATTTGTATTACGCTATTCATATTTAACGTGCGATACTTCGCAGGTCCAGCAGCCTTCAAATGCAGACCTCCAGAATGCCATGTACAATGGCTGGTTGCATTCGGTGTTTGTGACTGGAACAATCTGCTTCGCGGCAGATGGATGCATTATTTGGTGCAAACACAACTGTCCGGGATCGTGGAACGACTCCGACACGTCTCTAGGCTTCCGAAACAGGCTTCTCGATCCTAAATACTGTCCAGATCCGCGCAAGAACGTCGTGTCAGACTCCGCGTTCCCGTGCTCTACCGAAATGACAGGTCGCATACTTACGCCGCTCAAAGACGGCGATCTGGAGCGACTGACGCCGTCGGTCCGGAGTTCAGCACGGACCCTTTACAACGCAATCACGTCGGTGAGGCAGGCGGCCGAATGGGGCATGGGGAGTGTCCAAAAGGTTTACTCCCGCCTCAATCTTCCGTTGCCTTACGACCCGGAGCTTCGCGGACTCAGGCTGAACAATTTGTTTCGCATGGCGAATTACCGTGTGCGGACCGTAGGCATCTCGCAGATTCGAACGACATTCTCCGGTGAAATGGAGGTACCCACGCACTTGTATTAGTTTGTTTGTAATGAAGAATTCATTTTCTTTAGTTGGTTGCGTTGGCCTTAGCAACAAGTAATAGTTTGTTTATTGATTTTTATACGATCGTGAAGTTGTCACTTTCAACGGAGGTGAACATGAACAAGGTTGATACGTACAATTGTCTGGATTTTCATTTTCGAAGCTAATGTTATGCAGGTGCCACGCTACTTGATTTGAGATTAAGTTGCCTCGTTGCATAGCGCATGTCCACATGAAGCCTTCTGTCGCTGACAACTATTCAGGCCTTCTTCGTGATCGCTCCGATCAGCAGCATGAGCTCCTGAGTACGAGCTCAAGCGT